CTCGGGCTGGACTCGAACCGCTGTTGCTCAGAGCTCAAACTCTTGAGCGAGCTCTTAACCAACTGAGCCACTCGGCCGGCCCCATTTACTAATAATTTTAAATGGACCAAGACATAATCAATTAATGAACATTTTTGTATAACTTTATTTGTTCTCTTTGTACTAATGCTATTTGTACATTTTAGGTATAAATCATAACATTGAAATTTTAAAATGTATATGAAAGAATGGTTTATGTACATTATAAGTGGACACACAAACTAGTTGAATCCATTTAAAATGAACAGATTCCAGCTCTGAGCAACAGGGTCGTCAGTTCGATTCACGGCCTGAGCTGAGCTGAGCTGCTGCTGAGCTGCCAACAGGTGGCAGGATGGCTCAGCTAAAAAACAAAAAAAAAGGAAAAAATTTCATGGTTTCTTAGGAAACAGGGAAGATATACTTCATCTTGCAAAGTAGTGTGCACTAGACTCAGACTGTTGAGGACTTTGAATAGTGGAGTAAAGGTCTTATTATGTATTCTTATTAAATACATATTTGTCACAGAATAAACATCACTAGGTTCTCCGTGAAAACTACTTTTAAAAATAGGAGAGATAATCTATAAATTATCGAGGCTTAAGTAATAAATTTGGGAAATGGGAACTTGAGGCTTCACAGTATAGAGCAACAATTTTCAGCATACAAGAATCACATTGGGCAAGTTGTTTAAAAGGAAATTCTCAAGCTCTGTCCCCAGAGGCTCTCTTTCAATAAGCGGGGGCATCCAAGAATCAACATTTGTATTTAGCATCTTAGGTATCCTGCCTGAGGACCAAACTTTGAGAAACACTGAAGTTGTAACAGAAAAATACCTGGGAAAATTATAAAAATTGAGATTAAGTAGGAACTTTGTGATAGAGGCATAGTTAGCATTATACCCAGAGTGTAATTGAACTGTATCACAAAAGTCATAAAATGAGCTTTCAGATGTACACGTAGCTTAACCAGAAGTTATTTATGAAAGTACTCAAGAGAATTGGAAAAATTATAAAGGTCTGGAAAAGGATCGACAGGTGCCAAATTGATTTTAAAAACTGCTAAAGCTGGACTTACCATAGTGGAGAGAAACTGAGATAATGAAAAAATAAGGAATTTCTTTGTTTGCTTACATGTTTGTTTTAAGCATCGATAATAAACTCTGTTGAGTATACATGGAGAGTCTGAAATGTCTGAGATAAAATCTCAGGAGATGACCCTGAGGGTCTTTCCCATTTCTACATTTTTTATTTAAAAACTTTTTTTCTGTAATCTTAAAGGTTACTTTTAGAAAAGAAAGGCAATCCCATCAGTGACTTTGATAAGAAATAGTTCTTTGGGTCAAAGATTGCTTTTCTTTCCTTTCCCTTTACCTAGCAGATCCTATTTTTACTAAATTTTTTTTTTTTTTAGTTTATCATTTAAAACATAATAATTATCTGACAAATTTAACCTCAAGGCCCTTTTTCTTGTAGGTAATGTCTCGCTGGGAAGAGTATATCAGCAAAGTGAAAAATAAAGCTAATACATTACCAGATGTTGCAGAAATCTCCAACTTCTTCCCTTTTCATGAATACTTTGCAAATGCGCCTCAACCCATTTTTAAAGGCCGATCTTATGAAGAAGACATGGAAATTGCTGAAGGATGTTTCAGACATATTAAGAAAATCTTTACTCAGCTTGAGGTAAGGATTCTCACGTTCTTTTAACTTTCCTTTAAAGGTTTTAAGTTTAGTTGTTTTTTAAGTGAAGTAAATGAAATACTTGAATCTAACAAAGCAGATTGCTACTTTTAAATGAACTTATTGGAAATATTTTTAGTTCTAGTTTAAGAAATAAGTACAAATTAAGATATGACTTGAATCCCCATTATTCTGGCTCTTCTAGTGTAAAAGTCCTAGCATTTAAGAAAGGAACATATCCCTCAGGACATTCCACAGTGGTTCTTTGAATTGGAATTTGAGACTGCCACATGGCCTGTCTAAGTTCTTCATGCCTCTTGCCCAGTAGGCAAAAAGTGAGGTTGCTGATTAGCCAGGACGATTGATCCTGATTACACAGGTGAACACTGTACAAAGGGGACAGAGAAGAGTGTGTCTGGAACGAGAGAAGCCCTGAGATGCTTCCTAGCATTCTCATTCCTTATGGAAAACATCACTGGAAGATGATAGCAGTCCTTTAAAGGGACCACATGCAGGCTCAGATCCCTCAGTAAGAAGGTCTAGGGTTACTTCAGGTAAAAAGGGAAGAGACTTCATCTCTTTCATCTTTGTATCTTTTACATATGATTATATCCCTACTGCCTAGAACAGTATCTGGCACATAGTAGATGTTCAGTAAATATTGATGCATGGTATGGGTGGGTGGATGGCTGAATGGATGGTAGATACAGAATAATAAATACATAGTATGATAATAAAAAATGTAAGACCTGCAAAACAATAGTATGTTTATAATTACATAAACAAAGTAAAAGGATAAAAGCATATAATTATAGTAGCTGCCTGGGAAGGGGGTAGGGAGAAACATATATAGGGTACCTCACTGTACCTGTAATGTTTTAATTATTTAAAAAACAAAGCAAAAATGTTTTTAGAAAGTCTGAAGTAATTATGATATAATTTTCAGATTTGGTAAAACTTACTAGATACTCTGTTTGGATTTGTTTGCTCTTCATATCCATCTGTTGTCCATCCCCCAACTCTGATCTATGGGGGATCCTCTGCCATGGTCATGGCTGGGGCTAATCCTTGGAGGTTTAATTTCACAGCCTCTCTTGTCGGCTGACTTCTAGCTGGGTTTAGCCAATGAGAAATGGTGGCAGAAAAAGCGAAGCCAGGATAATTGTCCACCAGCTCTCTGCCTTGGGTTTCATCTCTTCTGTGGCTCCAGTCTGCTGGCATGGCCCACTGCGGCTCCAGCTTGTTCCGGTACCCTGCTCCCTGGGCTCTGATAGCACTGCCTCCTCCCTTTATCCTTCTTAGCCTAGGAAGGGTCGGAATTTCTCTGTTGCTGAACTCTGGGTTACTTCACTGTTCCCTGTTTGGCTTTTCTGCTACTCTGTGACCCGTATAACCAGTCTCTTGCATTAAATTCCCTTTGTTATGAATACTTGAAGTAGTTTCAGTTTTCCTGGAGGGACCTTGAGTAATATAGGTACAGTGGTGATTGATATTTTATTCAGTATTCTTGCTGATTGTAAATGTTTTACCTTATACAAAGAACAGTCCAAATTGTAGCTTGAATGTCAGCTATTATTTGAATTAAATTAGTACCTAATTAATAATGAAAAGAATTATTCTTTAGGCTTAGTTTATGATATATTTACATTAAGTTCTCAGAAATTAAGTCCGATTAACTGGAGTATATGGATGTATGCATAAACTATGTTTATTTTCCCAAAATAATCTCTCGCTGTCCCCCTATTCCCATAGGAATTCAGGGCCTCTGAATTGCTTCGCAGTGGACTGGACAGATCTAAATACCTCTTGGTGAAAGAAGCCAAAATCATTGCCATGACCTGCACTCATGCTGCCTTAAAACGACATGATTTAGTCAAGTTAGGTTTCAAGGTAAAGACTTATATTTTAATTCCTTAATTCATCATTTGTTCAGCTGTTAGTTTTTTTCTTTTTTTAAACCTAGGCCATTTCCCTTGGAGATTGGTTCACCTCTTATTGAAGTTTGCATTTAGAGTTACTTAAAAATGTCTCTTAAAAGCAATAACCTCTTATGTTTATATGATTAGTGAACTCTAAATGTAAGTTTTCTAAATCTAGTTATCACTAATAAGTGCATTAGTAACATTATAACTGTATGATTGTCTATCCAAATTCTGATACTTGTTGAGGTAGATTAATTGCACTGTGTGAAAAAATCTGAACAGAACTACAAGCTAAAAAAATAACATTTGGCAATGTTTTCCACCTACTAAATATCTATAATATGCTTGCATTGTTCGTGTTTGAAGCACACGTCCACTCTCAGTTGTTTGTTCCTTCAGCAAATCATAAGCCTTCCATGTGAGGATGTGGAATACTCTTAGTTAGACTGTAAGATGAGGTAGTAAATTGACTTCACCATATGATAAAGACCAGAGCCAAAGGGCATGATAGCCTTTAGCCTGTGACTCAGTTGAAGTGGAATATAATATTAAGCAGTAAATTTGAATTTGCAGACTATGTGACCTTGCTAGTGAAAGCGACCTAAACACTGATTTAAATGCTTGTCATTTAACTTCCCTGAAACTGTTTTTTCTGTTGTTTAAAATAGGGTTAATGTACTGGTTTGAATTGAAAGTTAGCAAAGCATTTGTTGTTGATGAAAGTAACTTGACACTTGTTAAATGCTTTGTGCTCACTGGAAGATAGGTGCTAAATAAAGTCAAGGTGATAGAATTGTAGTTATCTTAGATGAAAGGTTCCTCAGCTGCAAGATAGGACAAATATGATGCTTTATTAAAGGATAGCGTGAATACACCATTGGTGTGAACTTACCCTTTTGCAAATTATTAGTTAGAGTTTTTCACCTAAATAATTTATTCTTGGAGCTGACCTAGGAAATATACTTTGAATTTGATATTAAATCATACCAGTTTAATTACAAGGGGAAATGATGCAATTATAATTAGCATTTTATGGTTTCATGCAGCTTTTCACAGGCATATTCTAAAAAACATTACTTGTAGCTTATCACATATTCACTAATCATTTTCTTACATTTTGCTGCACATCTAGAGATAGTTAGCATGAGTGCTGATAGTATCTCTTAGATTTTTTATATTTTTAATTTTAAAGGTTTATTTTTATTAAACTTACACATGTATCTGGCTTAAGAGCTTAAAATTTTTGTACATCTACTTAACATTAAAAAAAGTCAGCCCCCCTACTCCTTGATCCTCTCCAGTTATCCAGCCCTTCAAAGCTTTTAGCATTTCCTTTTATCTGTTAATCTATCAATCAGGAATGTTAAACTTCTGTTTTAGATATTGTCTTTTGATTCTGTGCTGTCCCCCAGGAGACATGGCTGCACATTCATGGGCTTGCTCCTTCCTAATACTCCCAATATAGTTATGTCATAATTTTACTTTGTGATTCAAAGCTTTATTTTAAACCAGAATCTATAGATACATTTTTATAAGTTAAGTTGCATTCAATTTTCAGAGTTTTTCAGAAAGCAGGGCCTTTAAGCTGTCTTCCTTGAGCTTCTCCAGTTCTGTTTTGCACATTGAGTCTTATTCTGAGAGGACATGCAGAGACTTCCGTGAATACGTGGCTTTTTAAGCTCCTCCCTCTTCTGAGCTCCCACCAGGATGACCTAATTCATCACCGTAATAGGGAAATTTAGCATCAGATAGAGCTACATGCCTAAACCGTTTCCAGTAAACAACAGAGCAGAATTGAAGTTGAAAGTTTATCATGTCCAGTGGAAAGCCAGCTCAGCTTCCGATCTTGGGAAAATATATAGATACAGCATATTTTGATTAAAATGAGTAGCACAGAAATTATAGGATATATAAACAATTAGTTTAAAAGAGGAGAGTTAGTTAAGCATTAAGAGTAAATATTATCCCCCTACCTTCCTAGAAAACAAAATAAGAGGAAATTTTCCTTAAAAACAGAAAACAAAGGAACTCTAATACGTACTTAGTGAGATTCTCAAAGAAGGTTTTTACCAATAAAACAAGGAATAAGATACACTAAGTAGCAATCAGAATTAGCAGTAGAGGGGAAAGATAAAACACCTTGAGAATAGACCTACAAGAGTGTTGGATAGATAAAAGAGAAATAATCATCAAAGAAAGAATGAAATTTCCTTATGTTAAAGAAAGACTTGATTTTTTTATTTCACCAATGTGCAGTGCCTAACATTACTGGAAGCTGGGCCAGTGGGAGGATACAGGCACCAAACAAGTAAATATACAAATAGAATTACAAATTTTGATGTGCTGTGAGACATAGGAAAAGAGTGCTGTGAAACCCACTTCAGAGAAGGCCTGGGTACCGTGGGGTTTAAGCTGATACTTTAAGAATGAGAAAGAGCCAAGCAGACAGAAAGTCAAGAGAGAATGAGTGGCACGTGCAGAGGACCTGATAGATTTGTCATTTCTGAGAAAATGAAATATCATACGTCAACGTGGTTGAAGCTTAGTAAGTACGGAGAAAGCTGACAGACACATGAAGCCGGAGAGGCAGGCAGGGGCCAGTTGAATACAGGCTGTAATTAGCACATCTCTTATAAGCCTTGTTAAGGGATCTTTTTCCTGAGATAGTTGGAGCCAATGAAGGGTCTGACACCAGGAGGTGAAGTGATTTGATGACTAGTGTATCAGTGATTTGGCGGGGGGCAAGACAGAAAGTGGAGGGACTAGTAAAGAGATTGCTGGCAGTAGTCAGAGTTGTGGCTTGGATCAGAGTGGAAGTGGTAGTAGAAATGGAGAAAAGTGAGTAGATTTAAGAGGGAGTTTTAGAAGGTAGAATTGACATGTTTTGCTGATATAGTGAATGCCAGAGGGTGAAACAGAAGGGGATTGTTGAGTGCTGGGTAGGATTCATAAGGGAAAAAAAATTACCCCAAATACTACCTTAGGCAGGGCAAGGGTACCAAGGGAAATGACCGAATAATCATAAATTGATTCTTGCTTATATAGAACTTGCAGAACTGAATTGAAAATAGCTAAATGGATACTACAGTCTTAAGAAATGACATACAAAATCTCCTCAGCATAGAGTTGTATATTTAGGGGGCTTCCCTGAGGTTAAAGACTTAAAGTGGAGAAGCAGAGACATACTGATAAATAAGATCATGAACTTTCTGTTTGAATAATTTGTCTGTTATCATTTTTATCTGAAATTGTTTGTTTGTTTTTGGATGGTGGTTGTAGTTGTGGTGGTAGTTGTTTGTCTTTCAAGCTGTCTTTTTGACAAGCTTTTCCTTTTTATTCCTTTCTCAGTATGACAACATTTTAATGGAGGAGGCTGCTCAGATTCTCGAGATAGAAACTTTCATCCCTCTTCTCCTACAGGTAAGACACTGAGATCTGAGACAAGGAAGCAGAGTTTTAAGAATTCCAGGAGGCAGGATCAGAAAGCTGTACAATTTTGGGGTGCTAATTGCTATAATTACATTTTCTCCTTAACTTCATTATGTGTGTTGTTCTATTTTAAGCCTATGAATTTCCTTTAATCTCTTCACTGGTTATTTAGTAGTTTGTATTGTTTCTGAGAGTGCTATTTAAAAATTCGTAGTTATCTCTAAGTTTTGTAAAGACTTAGTAATTTTAATCAAGAAAATGGCATTTTTGTGCAGTTTGGAGGGAAGAGAAGTTATTTTTCATTTCTTTTGTTAGAATACCTGCTAGAATTGTTTTTGATGTTCACTGGGTACATCATTGCTCTTCTTTACTTTAGGGCCTAAATTTTTTTGAGCTAAATGGTCATGTTTCAGAATGTTTCTTATTATACAATAGTCTTTAGTAGCATTAAAAACAAAATATGGGATTCCCAATTTAAGAATAGAGACTGCTCTAATATACATATAGATAAATTGGATTCCAAAAGTACTTTTATTATTTGGGACTTGGAATGCATTTTGTCAGGATATGTTTCAAGGAACACGGAGACACATGGAGTACGGAATTGAAGTAGTAGAGTAGGAAATTAAAGAAGGTATGATTTTTACTGCTTTGGGGGGTGGGGATCAGAACTGGCTCTCAGCATAGTTGTGATACGTGGTGTTTACTTTGGCATCTTTCAGTTTCCCTGCTTGGGCATCTGTTTCTTTCTATGTATGCTTTTGCCTAATTGTAACCTAAGCCTCCCAGATCTCTTTGGATTACCGTATTTGCCGGCGTATAAGACGACTTTTTGGCCCTGAAAAATATGCCTCCAAGTGGGGGGTCATCTTATACGCCAGGTACACTTCAGATAGACTGCCCATAGTGCTTGCCCCGTGCCATAGTGGCCTCCCGATGCCCGCCCACTTCATTCCACATACCGTTCAGGCATCAGCAGCGCTGCTGGGTGTATGCTCGGCTGTGTGCGATTTTGCGAGTGTGGTAAATTCGGTTACCGTATATTTCTTTACATATGCATTGAAGATTCGCGATTTTGCGCTATCATGGTGCCTGTTAGAATGTTGAAGAGCTCGCACTTGCGCACTAGTGAGGTCCCAGGGAGATGCTGATGCAAGGGTGGACCAGACTGCTATAGGGACAGGGCGGGCAAACAGGGAGCAGGAACCAATCAAATCAGGCTTTGTATACAGCCAACAGCCAACCACAATACTGCACCTTTGTCAGTACAGCATAGAAAATGTCAACCAGTCAAACCCCTATCATCCCTATCATGGCACCAGCCAAAAGAAAGAAGTATGATGCAAATTTTAAACTGAAAGTTATAAACTTTGCTAAGGAAAATAATAATTGTGCTGCTGCAAGACAATATGGAGTAACAGAAAAGATGGTTCGGGACTGGAAATCAAATGAGAAAGCATTAAAGAGTATGCCAAGGGGTAAGTGTGCATTAAGAAGAGACACCCCACACTGGCCAGAACTCGAAAAACATGTAGCAGACATGGTGGCTCAACATCGCCAAAACGGTTATGTGGTGACACGAAATACAATACGCTTGTTTGCACTTCAGTGGGCCAAATCAAATCTGATATTGTTTTACCTTTTATTTGGTGTGTGGAAGGTGTGCGGAAGAGGGGGTAGTCTTATACGGCGAGTATATAACAAACTCTGTATTTTGAGTGGAAATGTTAGGGGGTCGTCTTATACGCCCAGTCGTCTTATACGCCGGCAAATACGGTACCCTATCTGTTAAAGTAGAGTAATTCCATGCTTGCCTCCTCTGTTCCCCCTCTCCCCGCCTCACACAACTATCAGCCAAGAGCGATGGTACCCATACTTGGTTCACAAGTCATTTTATAAGTTTGCCAGACTTCTCTCTGTGGAGCTGGCGAATATGAGTTAGGAAAGCTAATGAAGCCGTTTTGTGAATAGCAAGAATCTTGTGCAGTAAAATTGGAGACTAACAGGGTACTATGTTCATTAGGACCTTTTGCCATTTCCTCACTTTCCTTTTTAGAATCCTCAGGATGGTTTTAGCCGACTGAAACGATGGATTATGATTGGTGATCATCACCAGTTACCTCCAGTCATTAAGAACATGGCCTTTCAGAAGTATTCCAACATGGAGCAATCCCTGTTCACCCGCTTTGTCCGGGTTGGAGTTCCTACTGTGGACCTGGATGCCCAGGGGAGAGCCAGAGCGAGGTACAGGAGACCCCAGTGTGTGTGTGTGGGGGGGGCGTTACTCCTGTTTCAGGACATCAGTTCCTTGATCCAAGTATTTGATAATATCTTCCATATAGACTCTTAGCACTCCCTGCTGTCCAGGAGCTAGCCATCTGCACATCTGAAAACACCTTCATTGCTTCAGCAGGTGGTGTGAATCAACCACATTACTTCCTTCACTCTATTCATTGAGATTCATTTAAGTGACATAAACTAAGGCCTTTCTTTCACTGTCCCTGCCTCTTTTTTCACGCCCCCAAAAGATACGCGGTTAATATCATTTTGAAATCTAAAGCAAAAAGTGAACACGAGTTCCTACTCACTTCATAGAGTGTACAGGCCCCCATCTCATAGTTACCTCAAAATTTTCCTCAGTTTACAGACTTTTCCCTGTTTTTTTAATTTAAGGAGTGAAGATAGCAATTTACCTCAGAGAACACAATGGAACTGTCATGTCTGTCTCTTCTGATTTGGTTACTTGAAGTAGAAGGGCAAAGGTTGGAAAAGCATTATTGCTAGATAGATGAGCACATAATGAGTAACATGAACATTAAAAGGAAGCGCACAATTCCTAGAAACCCCCTTATGTATGTTATTATAAGGGATTTTACATTGCTAATATTTCCTGTTTGGGGGGATTTGTCTTTGGAAAGCCTGTGTAACCTCTACAACTGGCGATACAAGAACCTGGGAAACTTACCCCACGTGCAGCTCTTGCCGGAGTTCAGTACAGCAAATGCTGGCTTGCTCTATGACTTTCAGCTCATCAACGTTGAAGATTTTCAGGGAGTGGGAGAGTCTGAACCTAACCCTTACTTTTACCAGGTAAGGAAAAACATGAAATTTTTAAGTTTATTTTGCATTTGCCAGGCCGAATTACTACCTAAATCAATGACACTGAACCATTTGTCTAGCCATTAAATAGTTAGATTCCTCACACACATCAAAAAAATTCCACCTCACACACATCAAAAAAATTTAATTTCAGATGAGTTAAAGATATATACACAAAAGAAACTATAAGCATACTAGAAAGAAGAAAATATTGTTGAATATATAATGTTGGGGTGAGAAAGATCTTATTAAGCTCGTTTGCCAAAAGCAAAAATCATAAAGAAAAATAGTGATTTGAGAAAAAATTTATTTTCAACATTTGACAAACAGTCAGTTGAAGTTCTGAATGTATATAGAACTGTTATAAATCACTTTTTTAAAAAATCAACGCCCCCAAACAGTCCAGCCAATAGTCAGGCAGCACAACTTTATCAGGAAAACAAACAAAAATATGAGAAAAGTGTTTTGCCATTGTTGAACAGAGCTGGAATGATTCATAGTAGACAACTGGTCTGTTCATATTTTTCATCATTGTATATAATTTACCTCTCAGTAGAAAGGCTAACAAATTTCAAGTGCCACAGGTTGTAAGGGTTCTGCAGAAAAAAAAGTCCTTCAGTTTAGAACCTACAAAAACTTGTGTATCTTGATTAATGTACTTTTTATTTCATGGTGTAAACTAAGTTATTGCTTACATAAATTTGTAATATATCCTGTGTGTGTTTTTTTCCACGTGTATAATGTTGGTGTGGAGTTTTCATGACAGAATATACACATTTTGTAAATCTGTATTTTTTTCAAATATTGAATGCCTTATTTTTTAATTTTTTGGATTTTTAAATTGGAGAAAAGCACTTAAAGTTTTTTATATATGAATATTACATGTAAAGCTGTTAAAATACATAACTTCAGTGCAAAAAAAAAAAATCAACACCCAACAGAAAAATGCAATAAGGACAAGAATATGTAATTCACACACAAAATATATATAGATTTATAGCAAGTACAAATCACTGTAACGCATTTTCACCTCTGATAATATTCTATCGGATAGGTTTAGGGAAACTCTATACTCATGTAATGCTAATAGGAAAGTAATTTGGTGAACAAATTGTCAGTATGAAAAGTGCAATGTTCTCACTTTTAGGAATTTATTTTAAAAAAAGAAAAATTGGATGAATTTACAAAGTACTTGTATGCTAAAAAAGTTCATTATATCTTTTACTGCAAATTATTTTGGAAATGAGAAAAAACCTAAATGTCTTATCAGTAGGGATTAATTACATTATTATAATTAAATACTGAATAGCCACTAAGAATGATAACATAACTTGGTTTACTCACAGGCAAAATGTTTGTATTAAATGAAAAAAAATCAAGTTGCAAAGTATATCTGTAGTGTCCCATTTTATTTTTAAAAAGGAATAGCAAAACATACCTATAGAAATATATACTGATAATGTATACCAAAAGATCTGGCAGCATATACACCAAAATATTTGTTTTATCTATATTAGAATTGATGCTTACATAAATGTAGTTTGCTACTGATAAGAAAATGGAAAGATTTACACCTGTGGCTTCTTTTCCCTCCTGTCTTCCAAAGAATGAGTAGAAAATTTAAAAGAGATAACTCAAGCTGTGTGAGTAACACCAAGTGTCACCAGAATATAAACAGTTTTTCTACAGGTCTTCCTGTAATTTTCCTATTGCTTTGACATGAAATCCAGCTTCTTGTCTTTCTTTTTTGATTTTCATGTTATGCTAAACAGCCTTGTGTATGCCTCCTGACTTGCAAGTTCAGTTAAGCCTTGGCTTTAAGCTCCTTCCCACCAATCTTTCACCAGAGTCTCTGATGTCACAGGAAACCAGACTGACCAGTTTGAGGCCACATCCTCTTCCCACCTAAAGTGGGCTGGTAGAGGTAGCAACCATCAGTAAGAGAACAAACAACAAAACAAAGAATACTGTGAAGTTTGAGTGAGAAGGAAAAAATATTGTGTAAAAATTGAGAGTCGACCACAGCACTGCTAGATGTATATGCTATCAGACTGGATTGTCTACTGGCTTTTAAGATTACCTTGCTCCTTTGTGTTACTTTTTCTTTGCATTACTATAGTTGCAGTACACTGTAGCATAATATTATTGGTCTATATTGTGATTGTTGTGGTCCCAGAAGTTGGTAACTTTTATGATGGTTCTATATATTGCAAATGTCAAAAGGCTTTAATTACATTATTCAATTTTTATTTATCAGTGTAAGTCTAGGATAAGGTTATTCATCAGTTTTATATAAGGTGTTCACTTATCCACATTATTAACTCTTCACTTCTTGCAGTGTGATAAATGAATAAACTGTGCTAGTGAATCATTTTTTCTATAAAGTTGAAGCAAAAGGAAATAAATACACAGTCTGATTATGTTTGCATTACAGAACCTTGGAGAGGCAGAATACGTAGTGGCACTTTTTATGTACATGTGTTTACTTGGTTACCCTGCTGACAAGATCAGTATTCTAACAACATATAATGGGCAAAAGCATCTTATTCGTGACATTATCAACAGACGATGTGGGAACAATCCATTGATTGGAAGACCTAATAAGGTAATTTTATGAATATAATATGTTCTCTTATGATGTTGGCTAGATGGGAAGATTTATATTATTATGAGTTATTTGTATTGTCTCTTGGCTATCTCCTTATAAGAAATGTAAGAAAATGAAATACCCGTGTTTGCCGGCGTATAAGACGACTTTTTGGCCCTGAAAAATATGCCTCCAAGTGGGGGGTCGTCTTATACGCCAGGTACACTTCAGATAGACTGCCCATAGTGCTTGCCCCGTGCCATAGTGGCCTCCCGATGCCCGCCCACTTCATTCCACATACCGTTCAGGCATCAGCAGCGCTGCTGGGTGTATGCTCGGCTGTTATGCGATTTTGCTGTTATGCGATTTTACCACACTCGCAAAATCTACGGTACCAGTCTATAGAGTGTGTTTTCTTTAGTGAATTACCGGTATGTTTACCGGTAATAAACTTGCACTGTTTTATGTATATGTTTGATTACATACAGCCTTGTGACAGTTTTCCTGCATGTCATAAGCATTTGAATATAAATTAAAATGTTGAAATCAAATCTGATATTGTTTTACCTTTTATTTGGTGTGTGGAAGGTGTGCGGAAGAGGGGGTAGTCTTATACGGCGAGTATATAACAAACTCTGTATTTTGAGTGGAAATGTTAGGGGGTCGTCTTATACGCCCAGTCGTCTTATACGCCGGCAAATACGGTAATAGGAACTATAAATAATTCTCTGGCAATCCTATCTGCCAGTGTTATTGGTTTGCCATGAACTTCTGTCCCAACTACCTACCACACTGAAGATTTTTGTTGATAATAAGCAGAAATCAGTGTTTCTAAAACTTTCTGTTGATGAAATGATGAAAAAAAATATTTATATACCGTTAGAGTAGAAAATAGGAATTATATCATTTTTATTTTGTTTTGCAAAGGTGTAATTTGTACTTCTTACTCTGTGGTATAGGGGAGTGTTTTTTCTTGGAGATAAAGGAAAATTGTAAAGTGCATCCAGACCCAGGATTATTTTTTCATACATTTTTTATGTGATGAGATGGAGTAATCTCAAATAAAAATGAATATGCTTGATTTTATAAATAAAGGGTTCAGAAACTAGAAAGAATAACAAAACAAATATAACATTAGTAGTGATGAAATTAGGACTTTGGTTGTGAATACGACTGTGTTGAAAGCTCTTCACCTTTTCTTGGAAATCATCCAAAAGTAAGAGGACAATGGGAGGAAGAAAAGACAAACTACATTTTTAGTGAGATGATACAGATCAGGAATAAAATGTGGGAAGAAGGGAATTAAGGGGATCAATCTTGAAAGTGCCTGTAAAAACACACTTCCTGAAAGTAGTGGCGTACTCTGAAGTATAAGAGCCACATCCCTGTTATTCAACAATGGATGCAGGAGTTGGGGTGAGCAGAAGCCTTCCTGGTCCCAAATTGGTTCAAAGAAGCCTACAGGTGAGCTATACTTGCAAAAAGTAGACTGTCCCTATAATAGCAGAGGAAAGGAGAACCTTCTGTTATAAAAAGCCTACAGCCTTTAGAAAACAGTCCTGCTCACCCCACCCTAATCTCTTGCATGCATGTAGCTAATCTAAGAAACACACTTACTCAGTGATGAAATTGTGGGGAAAAGGAACTGGTACAAGCTCGATTTATATAGGAAAAAAATCAGGTGAAGAGCATCAAAACATACTAATTGACAAGATACATGTACCAGAAAACATGTTGGCCTGGAACAGATGAAAATGTTGACTACACATTGGCTTTGAATTTTAAAATACTTAATAAAGTAACCATTTCTGTGAGGGAAGGCTACAAAGCAGAGAAATTAAAGAACTCAGGAAGAGAAGTGAAATATGGAGTGGAAGAAAATAAAGCAAAATCATAGAAATGGAGACAGAATTGAGAGGACCACAGTGAGGACTATGCACTGTAGAGCACTCCATGAGGGACATAGAGAGTGAAAATAAGAAATGAATAACTTTGAAATGTAGAAAGTTTAGAAGTAGAAGGACCTCAATATCTGAGTTATTTTATTTATAGTTAACAGAAAAACTTAAATAATAAGGAAAGTTTCTCCCATAACAAAGTGAAAGTAGAGTAGCTCCAGGTTTGGGTTACGGCGACTCAGTGATTTCCTCAAAGACCAATGTTCATTTCAGCCCTCTGCTTTGCCATTCTGTTTGTGAGCCCACATCCCGGACGAGCTCTCCACATGGTCAATATGGCAACAGAATTTCCAGATACAATATCCTCACACAAGAGCAAAGGACTTATATCCAGACTATAAGAACTCATATAAAAGTCATTGTTACATGAAAATAATCCAATACGAAATTAGTAAATGTATTGAACAGACACTTCACACAAGAAGACAGATGAATGGCCAGTATAAGCACATGAATAAGTGCTTACCATCATTAGTTGTCAGGGAAATGCAAATTGAAACTACATTAAGGAGCACTACACATTCAAAAGAATAGCTAAAATTATAAAGATTAACAGCATACTAAATGTTGGCTAGGATGTGGAGCAACTGGAACTCTGGACCTGGAGCATTGCTGGTGAATGTGTCAAGTGGTTCAGTAACTTTGGAAACCAGTTTCCCAGTTTCTTATAAAGTTAAACATATACTTTCCATACAGCTCAGCAATTTCACTCCTAGATATTTGCCCAACAGCAGTGAAAACACATGTACACAAAAATATTTATACATGGATATGCATTGCAGCCTTATTCAACATAGCCCCAAACTAGAGACAGCCCAAGTGCCATGAACAAGTGACTGGATAAACAAATTGTGGGTTATGCATTCAGTGGAATACAAGTCAGCAGTAAGAAGATAATGAATTTCTAATGTGCAACACATGGGTGAATCTCAAAAATATTATGCTGAGTGAAAGAAGCTAGACAGAAAAGAGTACGTAATTAATGATTCCATTTTTATGGAATTCTAGAACTGGCCCCCCCCCCAAAAAAAAAAATCTATAGTGACAGAAAGCAGATCATTGGTTCCCTGGAGGATACAGATTTGACAAGTAAGGGACCTGAGGGGATGGCAATTTTGGTTGTGTTTATGTGGGAATATATGTTGTCAAAATTTATCACCTTGTACACTTAAAGTGAGTATATTTAGTTGTACGTAAATTCTACTTCTGTGAAGCTGATTGTTTCGTTAGCTTCCTAAAGGTAGGGACCAAGAATTATATTGGATTGTCAGAAAAGTCATGACGCATTTTTGCAATGAAAAACAGAAAAAATATGTCATGACTTTTCCGACAAACCCCCAATAGTGAGTGTAGTTATGATAAGCATTTAAACTTTTTGTTGAATTAATGAAAGAGAGAAATGCCTGAGTGTCAGTATGACTGAAACCTTCCTGAATGTCCCTATTTGTATAAATGTTTTCATACTGAACAGAGAATACTGTGAAGATTGTTTATTTTTTGACAAAGGAACACTGTCGATTAGAGCTAGGATTCTGTTAAATAGTAAGTGAACAAACTGAGTTATATTGCTGGGCATCAAACTGGGATACAAGGTAATAAGTTAAATGCAGTTTCTGATTTCATGGCTTTGAGAAATCTAGTAGGGGAAGACTGTTAATTTCACAGATAGTTTAGTTATCAGCACAGGTAAAAACGAATGCTGTGTGAATTACACAGGGACATAGCCTAATGTGGTTATGATGGTTTATTTCATAGCTTTCGTTAACTTGTTCTTCCAAATCCAAGAGTATTGTCATGTTTCTTTTCAGATTATTTTAAGGGCAAGGTTTTTTATTTCTAACACATTATTTAAATGATCCCTCTAGAGTCTTGTTATTGTGCTTTTGAAAATATACCATATTTATCTTTTTTTTTTTCTTTTTAGGTGACAACTGTTGATAGGTTTCAAGGTCAACAGAATGATTATATTCTTCTTTCTCTAGTACGAACCAGGGCAGTGGGCCATCTGAGGTACGTTAAGGAAAAACTTTCATAATATTATAACTTTACTAACTGCTTCAATTTTAAACTTCTGTGGCTATGTAGTTTTACCCTTTTTTTGAAAGTGTGAAATAATTGTTATGGTAGCTTTTGGTGCTTTTTGTTGGAATGTAATAATATCAGATTCTTTGTATATTTAACCATTGCTTCTGAATTTTTTTTTAAGGGTTATTTTATTTTATTTTAGATTTTTTTATTGGGGAGTTGGAGGAAGGGAACAGTGTTGGGGAATTGGAGAAGGAAAACAGCCAAGTTGTCCTTCAATCTTAGCTGTGGAGGGCACAGCAAGCTCAACTCCAAGTCCAGTCATGCTGCGCAGCTCAAGGTGCTGTGTTCAGTTAGTTGTGGGTGAGCGTAGCCACCATCCCATGCAGGAGTCAAACCAGCAGCCTCGTTGTTAAGAGCACACGCTCTATCCACTGAGCCACCCGGGCAGCAGCTCAGCTCCAGGTGCCGAGTTCAGTCTTTAGTTGCAGGCAGGCATAGCCCACCATCTCGAACAGACAACCTTGTTGTTAGGAGCACATGCTCGTACCAGCTGAGCCATCCTGCCACCTGTTGGCAGCTCAGCGGCAGCTCAGCTTGGGTGCAGCACTGGCCCATGTGGGAATCGAACCGGCGACCCTGTTGCTCAGAGCTCGCACTCTTGAGCAAGCTCTTAACCAACTGAGCCATTTAGCCGGCCCCACTTATGAATTTTTTTGAATCTTAAATGTTTTAGTTATTTAAACTTTTTTACTTTTAAGTAATAGCATTTTACCATAAAGTGTGTGTGTGTGTGTGTGTGTGTGTGTGTGTGTGTGTGTGTGTGTGTGTGTGTGTGTTTCCTATATCTATTGGGAAAATGTCAAAAATTAAAGGAGGTAAAGTGGTAAAAAGCCTCTTCGGAATGAATTTTTCAGTGTGTACAATTTCTGACATTTCCCCACACAGTCTTTCAGCTTCAGTGTTAGAGGGTAAAGGAACCATTTGTTCTCCCAGGATTAAGAATCGTCAGAACAAACAATAACCTATTTTTATCATTTATTGTGGTGTATTTATATACTAGAGATTTATGGGAACATATCTTCTTCTTATTACAAAGCAGCCATTTAGTTTTATATAAACTTTCATCAGATATTACTTAATAGCAAAACTATATGGAGAGTTCATTTTATTATTTTACTTGGTGGATATAAAAAGAAAATTCTCCTAGCTCTCATAATGTTATTATTAAGTCAGGATCTGTCTGGAGCTTAGCCCAGTGATCAGGTTCCATTAGACTGATAACATTTATGTAAGAGTAAGCAAAGATGTAATATTCACAAAATTGTTTGAAGACAATAGCATTCTAAAAGACAGTTTATTTTTGCTTGTTTATTTAAGTGTGAAGCATGTATTTAGAGAGTAACTTTTCAAAAAAGCGGTTCCTTTTCTGCAGTGCGACTTATGGCTGCTGTCTGAATGGGGGCATCATTGTGTTTTAAATAATTAAAATCCTTCAAAAAGTCAAGTATGAGTACATGAATGATGATGCGTCCTCCCCTCCCCACCTTTTTTCTTACTCTTCAGTGCTTTGCCTTTTTCAGATTCCTCATGGGATCTATGCTATTCTTTGCCTGACTTTTCTGGAAACTTTAAAAAAAAAAAAGGTAAAACACTTATAAATGAAGGGTTAAAAAAGGATCTGATTTCAGTGTTGTCATACAAATCAAAGTTTACTAAACAAAACTACCATTATTCAAATAATCTTCTTTGTATTTGCCAAAATTTGCTTTTGAAAGTCCAACTCCTTCATTGGGGGTGCTGTTAATGGTGCTGGTGTTGCTCAAATACACAGGTGAAATGTTGGCTTAACTATTATTTGTGCTTCCAGTTACCCAGATGCCTTAGGTATCTTGGCTAGAATTTTATCAAACTCTTCATTGAATATTTTGGTTTTGTCTTTCATTCATTTCTTTTTCTAATATTTTGTTTTTCAAGTTCCAAGAGACCAAGGAAATCTGCTTCCTTCCAGATTTCCTTTAAATAATAGCTTTATCGAGATATAATTTACATACTATACAATTCACATATCTTAAGTGTATAAGCCAGTGATTTTTAGTATATTCATAGTTATGCAGCTATCTTCACTTCAGTTAATTTTAGAACATTTTCATCACCCAACAAGAAACCCTGTGCTTATCAGTAGTCACTCTCGCCCAAGTTCTTGGCAAGCACTGTTCTACTTTCTGTCTTTGTAGATGTTCTAGATATTTCATATAAATGGGATCACTTGGCTTAATGTGTTCAAGGTTCATTCATGTTGTAGCATGTGTGAGTACTTCATTCCTTTTTATTACCGAATTACATTCCACTGTGTGGCTGTATCATATTTTGTTTATCCATATCAATTGATGGATATTTGGGTTGTTTCCGCTTTGTGGTCATCATGAATGAATAATGCTGCTGTGAACATTCATGTACAAGTTTTTGTGTGGACATGTTTTCCTTTCTCGTGGGTACAGATGTAGGAGTAAAATTAGTGAGTCATATGTTACCTCTGTGTTTAACCTTCATGAACTGCTGAGCTGTTTTTTCAAGCACCTGACATATTTCTTTTACTGACATATGTTTTCATCCAGGGCAGACTAATCAGGTGATTGTGTAGGAGCCAGACAATTCAGCTTGAGTTCCAGAGCCCTGTCTTAGGATACTGAGGAGCAATTTAGAAGCCAGAGTAATGAGACGTTTCTAGCCCCTTTTCCAACATTCATTGTACTTGTCTGCCCCCTGCTACACACACACACCAGATTTGAATAGCCCTGGAACCAATAGAAATGCTTGTTCAGTGCAAAGCAGTGTAACTAACTTTCCTGTGTTGTTTCCTCATAGAGGTTCTGTCAGAATGATGGCTTGTTGTTTAACGATGCTGGTTTTTTCCAGCCATGTTCTGGGGACTATGAAAGAAGGTGGGAATTCTCATTGCCCTGGCTTCAAGATACAGCCCCAAGGAACCCTGTCATTTATGATTTTGCCTGGTAGTTTGTTATGTTCAGAGTGTTTGGTCATTCATTTAACAAATACTTTCAAATTGATCTATTGTTTTAGTGTGCTGGGTTCTTGATATATAGTAGTAAGTCAAACATTTATGATCGCTACCCTTATGGAGCTCAGAGCCCAGTTGGGGAGACATTAAACATATCCTTAGAAGACACCTATATTTGAATCTGCAGAAGATTTTAGTCTATGGAGATCAAGCTTGTAAAGCCACATAGCACTGAGGCCCCGAGGGGAAAGTTTCCTGAGAGGGTCTGCAAAAGCACTATCTGTGCTCTGCCAAGAGATAAAGAGCCTATGGGATGTGAAGAGAACTGAACATGATAATACTGTGATTACCATGAAAACAACAGTTTAGGCCCTTCTACCACCACTACCCCTTTTCTCCCTGACAGCGTTGTTTTAACCATAATTTCCTTTGAAATGTTTGTGTGACAACTCATACTAAGTATTTCTAGCATTATACATCTAATTATCAGTGTTGGAACCATCCACCTGTAGCATAACCCCTTGGAGTTCTCAGGAAATGTGAAGAAAATTTTAAAAATTTGGCTTGCGATAACCTAGAAAATAGTGTTTTTGTCATGAATCCAGTGTATCAGGTAGAAGGAGCAAACAGTCCTCAAAACACTACTGTGAATGGCGTACGTCTGCTTCTTCTACCTAAATGAACATCTCTTAGTTGTGTGTGGTTGGGGGGAACACCGTGCCCCTTTCCCCTCACCCTCTCGCACACACAAGAACATAACTGATGCGTACTAATGTACGGTACCTCCCGGTAAGGGAAACCAGGTCCCTCTCAAGGTCATCAACTCCTGGTTCTCTGTCTGGTTATTATATGATCTTTGTAACATTTGATCTCTATAACACTTTCTTTCAGAGATTAGGGGTGATTTTGCTAGACTTTATTATTGTTCATGAAAGTCCTCTTGTTTGTAGAATACTCAGAAATTTAAGTAGTTACCTAAAAGCATCTCAAGAAAACAAACTGTCCTCTGTATTTAAAACCAAAGTTAGGGCCAGCCGAGTGGCTC